CCACCACCACCACCACCACCACCACCAACACCACCACCACCAGCTGCATTCGCTCTCTGTTGGGAGTGCCTACACTCCCAGCCAATCACTGGAAGCCACGTACGTTTTCGCCAGCACTCTGTCAGCATGATCGTGGCGCCTCGCCATTGGCTGCTCCCTCGAGCCTGCTCGGTCTGTGTATTCGAATTATCGACCAGCTCGTTAGGAATGTTCTTCCCGAAGTTCATTAGGCTGAATGCAGTCGAACCTCAGTAGGATGTTATGAATACGCGTTACTTCCCCAGTTAGACTTGACTTGCAGATTTCTAATACACTTTGTCGTGACCGGTCGTGTTCTCCTTCTCTGCCGCGTTGGTATTGGAGACAAAAGTCGAGTGCGTGATTTCTAGGTACCAGCAGGGTCATAACACCCTCACCGTCCACACGGTCTGCAAACATCCATTTATCGCATGGGCCTATTCGGCCACATGCATATCCACAGCAAAAGAATTCATCGTAGTATTAACACCTTGCACATCCGCCAATTTTCCTATATCCAGCCCAACCAACGCTCCAGCCACCGGTGCAAAAATCATTAGAAGCACCACAATGGCAATCAACTTGACATCTCCCAACCTGTCCTGCCCACACTGTCTCCACACGTTCACTTCAAGCATCGGCCTGGCTGGCCACTTGCGAGTACATCTCACAGAGACTGGCGAATCCAGCGTTCGGTCGTCGTGACCGATAGTGTCCACCGTGTGCTCCACAGCAGGGTGAAATCGGAAACGACGACTTGCAGACTAGCAGACTAGCGATGCATCTGCTACACTCTCTCCTCCTCCCTCACCTGAACCTGGTATCAAGACGGAGTCAAGAAGACCGGAGGCGAGTAAGGGCGCAAGTGACTGGCATAGCGAAAACCCACACGCAGACGTACCACCACAGTCCCTGGCCCAAAATGTGTTTTGACCAGTTTTTTACACAAAAAGAAAGAAGGGGGACTACTCGGATACAAAATGACAGGGCGTGAGTCTGCGCCTGGGCGTACCGCCAAAGTCAGTATTAGCATTCGCCATGCGTGCACATTCCCACTAACGCCTGCCAGACCCCCGATTTAACTCCCATGTCGGTCCAGCGTATCCATTGCCTCAATCGTTTGAGGGACTGGCGAACCAGTACCAGGAACACCAACACACACATACCAGACACCATCGTCTCGGCTTTTTGCATTGTCCTCGACCATTCGTCCATCGCATGGGCCTATGCGGTCATATGCGAATTTGTAAAAACCCTGGGGTAAGTCAGCGCAGACATGATCACATTCACCATCAACACATGCACTACACACGAACACCCCTTACATTCCACATCACCGGCACATCACACTTACCGTGAGTGACCGATCTCATGAAATGTTGGCCAAAATTCTGAAATGCGTTTTTGTTTGGGAGGGATTACTTAGGTGGGGTTGTAATATTGAGGTGGAGAGAAGCTAGCTCTCAGGTGGCGGCGCACTCGACGGGACCCGGCTATAATTTCAAATTTCAAGAGGCCGAAATTCTCGCGAGGGGTGACAACCGCGTGAGCCGCGAGCTGCTCGAGTCATGGTTCTCAGGCCCGCAGTCCATCAACAAGCACAATGGCCTCCCGGAACCATATTCCGTGCTGAGATTTTCCCTGGGCAGGGGAATCAGTCACGTGGGGTGGACGTGGGCGAGCAATTATCCCAGTGACAGTGAGCCAATTTGCCGAGCAATCGTCACACCAGCATCCGGCACAGATGACGAAATCACGGCCATTAACGGCTCGGACACGGACTGACAAGCCACCATCGCATTAATTACGACCCCAGAGGAGATTGTGAGAGCTGTTAGTTACAGCGCGCATATGGTCCCACGGCAGCCACGTGCTATAAATCCTGCACTCCTTGTGCCGCCACTACCTTTATCTGTAAATGTCTCTGATGATGGATTCGAGTGAGAATCCGAAACGTCAGGCCAATAAATTTCTTGCTCCAGTGATCGCATCTTCGTTTTCTGAACTCATGAACTGTTAGCCAGAAATCTGAAATGCTTTTTCGACTCAAAAAGATTACTTTAGTAGGGTTGTAATATTAATCGCCATGCAACACAGTCCCATGATAATTCAGTTATCGCAGGATGTCGGCTTTTTAACTAACGTCTTTTCGGCTGTCTGCAAAGACTGTACACTTTAAAAAGTGAGCACTTAAGTAGCATGTTTTTCCATCGAATTTGAATGCCCCTGGGAATTCAAACACGTCTCACAAACAATCTACATAAACGCTTTTATTATTTTACTCCCCTAGTAGAAACTGACGTCTTCTTTAGATTCTATACTTGAAGGGAGAGTATAATTTTGTTTCAAAAGATTTCTAATTATTATATTTTTAAGACCGTGAAGTGCCCGTTCGCAAAACGTCGTGTCTCCGCATTTGCTAACGTTGCCTTTAAAGTTTACAATATCGCTCAAATCCATTGTCGAATTTTATTAACCCTATATGATCTCCCATTAACAGCATCTATAAATGTATGATTTTCCGTACACGGAAAAGACGACTTCTTGTTTGGAAACCCTGAATGCAAGTGCAACGGCAGGTCGGATTCAAAATTATTCAGGACTCGGGAAAGTTTTTAAAAGTGAATTATACCACCGCTTCGAGTATAAAAATCTAGAGAACGCAATTTTCTACCAAATATGTAAAAGGCTGAATATTTTTATTCCGGTTTTCTGTGAGATATATTTTAATTTCTATGGGCATCGAAATTCAACGAGGAAAATTAATACTATATAATTAGTTAGTTTTTACAGGCGTCTGGAAAGGAGTTCGTTCAAAGGTCGGCAGCCTAAGATAACGAAATTATTACGGGATTTTTCTGAAGGATGATTAATATTACTACCCTACTTAAGGCGCTTTTTCGAGTCGAAATCGGATTTCCCAATTTTGGTTAACATTTCATGATTTGACACATTGTCAGTGGTTTACGATCGAGGAAGGAGGAGACGAAGAGCCTTCTTCCTTGATGTCTAGATGTTGAGGCAGAAAGATAGAACTCTCCGCACAGGGGTCTTTTGAAAAATGGCAGACACGGAGAAAATCTTTTGCTACAACAACAGATATCCCCTGTAGCATAATTAGAGTTGCCTCCGGGCACTTTTTTGTCGCATCAACACGCACTGCAGCACAGAGGTCGAGAAGCTGCGAGAGCATAATTCCCTATGGAACCTCTTCCTCTCCTTGGAACAAATACCTGCACTAAAGGCACACGAAGACCACCAACAAGGACCCGCATTCTTCCGTGCCCTGAACTACATTGTGGACATCTCCGAAGCCGCTGAGAGCATGCTAATACCACTCAACGTGGGCCTTGAACACCAACTGGAGGCCAGCATCCGCCTTTTGCTCATACGGCCCAAAGATCGGATGCCATCTAAGGACACGTCAGGAATTATCTACCGTGTCAGCTGTCTAGCCCATCTGGCCGACCACTGCGAAATGACCGACAAGCGACTGAGGACGCGTATGCATGAACATGATTTAGTTGCGAGGCGGAAAAACTTGCGTACGCAGGTCACCATGCACAGCCTGGAAAATAGTCACCAATCCGACTTTGACAGTGCCCAAGTACTCAGAAGACCCGAAAGCAAGCTGGCAAGAGAGATAATGGATTCCTGGGAATTTGACGCCAGCTTAACTGACCGTAGGATTGACCGACCAGCGCCATACAAGGCATTCAGGTACCACTTACGCACTACGGGTGGACCTATCAGGCATCAGTAGGAAGGACTTATTGGCAAGGACACAGTATGAGACCCCACTCAGGTGACAAAAACTAGGTCACCGTGCTGTACGAGTTTTATGGCTGGGGCTGAAGGGTGGAAATGAGAACGCGATGGCATGTAAACATTTGGATAAAGGTCGAGGTGGCATATTGCTCCCTTACGGTAGATTTCTCTACAGCTACTTGCAAACGAGCACATGTGCCAGGAAACCGATTTCCGGGGAATTATGTGGTATCAATATACCCGACGGTGCATGCAAAAGCTGGACCTTTTTCGCTGCTCATCCAGTTTGTGTTCACAAAAGTAGACAACATTCCACAAAGTTAAGAGAGCGCGGATGCGTCGATCATAGAAAAGGGGAGGAGGCGATATGGCACAATGATCTGGTTTTTGTTTTCTGAATGGGGTCACTTATTGTGTCCTTGTCGACTTATTTAAACCCCTAAAACGCATTTCGTCGATGTTCTTATTGTTGCTTGATGCAGCTGCGAGGGCTTCGGCTCCTTAGTGGACTCCTGGCATCCTCTGTGCGGTTTCTGGTATATAAATTCCAGAGAATGTTCAAGCTAATTATCTCAGAAATTACTAATTGCAGGAGTTCGACACGTTGCAAAATCCTTGCCATACGAAATGCATGCTACTTATGGTATTACTTGCCCTTTAAATGGATATTCCGTGATTATTTTACAGTAGTTGATTGTCTTCGAGTTCAGTTTTCATCAGCATTTCGAGTCTGACCCTAAAAGGTCATGTCCCTGACACTTAATCTCATGTCCTGAACTTAATATGTTTGAAATTCCTGACTTGATGTATATATATGGGTAGGTAAGGTGGTGGCGACAAGCACAAGGAGGGTCGTTGTCAGGGTTTGCGGACACCAGAGGTTCGAGACCGGTCCATTTGGTAACTGGGGGTTACCAAGTTTCGTTCTCTGACTATTCAGCCAAGGGCTCTTTGTCCTTTCGGTTGTAGTCGGTTATTTTAGCCAGAGGAGGGGGGGGGGCTCACTCTCCTTTGACACTACCACCTTGTATAACATATTAATGATTGCCATGTGACTGGTTGCAGGGGCTCAGAAGAACGACCACCTTCCCTAACCGGATCGGCGAGGCCCACTGTACCATATATATATATATTTCGAAGGAAATAAGTTTTTCGGGAAAGATAATAAAGCTTATTTAGTAAACGTTCGACGCTGGTCCTCCAGATCGTTCTCAAACGGGAGGCAAAGTGTGCAAAACAGTTAAAATTCCAACATGCCTAAAAACCGATATTGCTCTATCATTCCTGCCAGTCAACCTTTACATCGGGTTGGCATCACCCTGTGATTGATTGCTGCCTTTTCCACTTCGTATTGAGGATGTTATACACTGCGTCTAATTCAGTGTGCTGTTTAATGCATGCGTTGTCAGAATGCCTGGCCTCTAGAAATTTTTGGCCTTCCTTAGATGAACAGACAATTATAGTGCTCGTCTTGTTTCGGATGAATTTGTGCCCAGTTTCAAACACATGCATGGCAACTCCGGAAAAGTGGTCTCGCCTATTTACTACTAACTAATGTTTACATACGCGTGTAGGGACAAATTTTCCGTCTGGACCACAGTAAACTGCATTGTAAATGTCGCATGGCATCTCATAGACGGCTACTTTTTATATAAACGGTCAGCCCTATACCTAGGTGTGGAAGTTGGTTGCAAAACATAGCCGCTGGCTTTTGCGCCACGTATATTTGGTGTTATCTCTGGTGTCATTCAACCACTTCGACAAAATCCTAGTGACTGGAAGTGCTTTCCAGATTTCGGTTCAGAATAAAAGGAAGGTACGATCACTGGAACAAGAAATCCATTGACCCGACGTCTCGAATTCTCACTTATCCAGACGGTCGACGTTTACCTGTAACCGTCTCCGATGATGGGTTCGAGTGAGAATCCGAAACGTCAGGCCAATAAATTTCTTCTTCCGGTGACCGAATCTTCTTAGTCCTAACTGCTTCTTAGAACTCACCTGTTCGCTTTTTTCGGCAGATTTTAGTTTGGGATTCCGACCGGAACAATCGAATTCCTTGTTTTATTCTTTTACGTCCCATTCTCTCAAGCATCGATGAATGAAATCTTTAGGATATCCATTTTGTGAAAACAGTGTGAACAAATAATTCAGTTCTGTTCGGCACTTTGCTAGAGTATTTGTTCGGTTAAGGAGGCTGTTCACAGCATTACTTTTGTGAGAAATTGGGTGATTTCTCTGGTAATGTTAAAGAACTGCCACATAAGTTTCTTTGCGGTAAACTGCTGTATTAAGTGTCGTGTTAGTCTTTTTCCGTACGAGGACATCAAGAAATGGGAGTTTGCTGTCAGCCCCTTTTGGGAGTACGAATGTGATTCTTGGAAGCGTTGGATCAACAATGCCGCAGAGCATTTCCAGTTGATCACTTTTAACAACAACAACAACAAAAGGGTCGTCAACATAATGTACCCGTAATCTGGGCTTAACCAATGGTGGGGAGATAGCCTCTAATTTTTGCATCGTGACTTCTGCCCGGAAGCCAGAGATGTGTGGTCCCATAGGGGTCCGTTTCATCTGTCAGTAGTATATAAGTGCGAATGCAAACTTCGTTTCCAGTCATTGTGTTTTCGGGAGGAAAAATATCACATCTGCTTTCCTGGATTTTTTAGGCCTCACTATGTGCCGCGGTAAGGCGAAAAGGCATGCTCATTTCGACGTTGGAAGAAACTATCCGAGGTCGCCAGACCCAACACCTCCGAATCTGTAGCGCTCTGTTTGTGACTGGCAGACAGCCATTTTTTCCATGCAGAAGAATGTGCCAATAAGCAACCAGAGTTGTCATATTTAACTAATCAGAATAAGGCAGATCGAGCCGGATTCGAACTCTGCGGTTTCTCAGCCCATTGACTTGCGTTGGTATCAGTCCAGAAACAGCCGTTTCAGTCTCTCGCCTCCTTCGTCGGTAGCGATCTGAACTGAATCTCTCCTCTTAACAGATTCGTTTATTTGCGGGTCTAGTAAGACCTATCGAGTCACTTTGGCCGAATCGCAATTCGGCGATCAGAATGGTGGTTCGAGTCTGAACTGGTGCTGTTCCAATAACCAACTCCCCGTTATGTCCCGTGAACTTGCGCCTGCTGTGACGCACTTATGGGACGGCCGTGACTTCATGTGTGCATCGGCCGACTCACCGCAAAGCTCGTGCTTAGCATTTTCAATTCTTTTTCCCTTCGTCGACTCCCTTATCTTAAAAAAGGAATTCTTCCTCCAGAGGCCTATTATATTCAGAAGACATATGTCTGTGTGTTCTCCTTTTCATGCTACAGTCGCACGCAATCAGATTAGGTCCGATATGTTGCCCGTCCGAAGTGTCTTGTCCTTAGATATATACGTGTTTGGGTATGCGCGCACAGGGTGCTCGAATGCACCTCGAGGTGTCCCACCCCTCAACACACACACAAGTCGGCAGGTCGACGCCGTAGATCGAGGACCCACGATATGCCTTCTTTCAGGAGGTTACTTCTCCACCCTCCCTCCCCTCCCCTCCCACTCCTACTACGCCTGAACGTCGTATCATCGTCAGTATCCCCCGTCCAAACCCTCTGTGGCTGCTGAGCTTGAAAATTTTGTGAGGGGTGGCGGTGGAACGAAAACGGCGTCTCTGGGTGGGGGGGAGGGAGGGGTGTGGGGAGCACGTGCGTGCTCACCTGACCGCAGCAACAACAAAGGCGGCAGCAGCAGCAGTAGCGCGAACTGACTACTGTTCAGACCTCGCTGTTGGCCGCCCATCTTAGGCTTTCCCCAACCGCTTACTAGTGCCACCGCCGCCGCCGCCGCTGCCACCACCATCGCCACCGCCTCCTACGAGTGTTCTGCGGTCGACAAGGACGACTAGAACGACGTCGCGGTCATTGTCTACGACCGAAAGACTGCTCTGCCTTCTGCAAACAATGCTATCAGATTTCAGGCTTACAGACGCAGATGGTATCATTGCGAGAGAGGGGAGAGGGTTGCTGCGCGAACGAGTCGAAAGGATTCGCCTGCGGGCGGGAGCACAACCACGCACTTGCTAGAATCGCTGTCAGAGTGGTGGCTTAAGTAGGCAGTGGGGGTGGGGGTAGGGGGCTGAAGAAGGCTGAGGGAGAGGTGTGCTTTTGATTATAATGCTGATGAGAACGATATTGATGGTCGTGGTAGTGGTGGTGGCGGTGGTAGGATTGAGGGGCAGGCGGTGACGTGGACGAATTCGGTCTTGAATGGTAGCAGACAGGAATCACGTCGACATCTGCGGCTAACCTTGATTCGCCTCAAAGTTTTACTGATATCTACTGCAAGACACCCTGCAGACGGGGAGAATCATATTTTGCCTATGCAGAAGCCGTGTCGATTTGTTCTTCTGAGCGGATGCCGAAATGAGCAAACATCCTCGTTGTGAACCTACTTACATAGGTGGTGCACCTGGGGCCCATACCCCAACTACCCAGTTGAATAGTTTAGGGCACAAAAGCCTGCTTAATAGGTTGGTTGACATCTGGCTTCCGATTGGCCTTCTTTTAGAGCGTGTGTGGGCCTGCCTTTTTCTGCAAGGAACTTACATTGTTGAGATAATCAAAGGTGATTATTATGAGAATTTTGAAACGCTGCTGCCAAAACTGGTCATCGAGACCCAACTCATGAAATGTGGCGATGGCGACTGAGATGGTCACTTTGGTTTGCGAAAGTGACTTTCGTCTGCAGCAAAATAGTTCCAGTAACTTTTCGGAAAGTCAAAGGACGAACCAAATGACACTATTGCAATACTTTTCAATGAGACAACTTGTCAAAGAAGGTTAGCCAAATGATCAGGAGCAAATTCATTTCAGACCGTCGTTGTGGACGTTCCTTTAATGTCTCAGGTTTGATGAGTATTCATATATGACCCTAATAGGCATCTACATTGAGAAGGTCACCCAGCAACTCACCATGTTGGTAAATGCTTTCTAAAATATTTTTATGGTCTACATCGACGCAGATTACGGAACCTATCTTTCTGGACAGTGCTCACTGTCAGTTCAGAGGTACCCTGCAGCTGAGCGTGCTCCGCCTTCATCAAAAAGTTCTCGTGGTACAAAGAAAATCGTATGCTTGCCATTGCATCTGCTAATTCTATCCGAATCTGTAATCGTTCGGACGGTCTCTATAAGAAAATCAAATCCAAATTCTCATTAGTTTAATCAACTGCATCATAAAAACACAAAAACGAAAAAAAGTGCATCGAATTCTCGAAACCAGCTCCAGAAACACAAAATCAAACATAAAATTTTTAACTACAAATACAGTTAGTGACCTAACTCATGAAATGTGTCAAAATTTACGAACGATTACCAGTCACTCGCAAACCGACACCATTTCATGAGTCCGATTTTTATGTTAATTAAGTACAAGTTTACAAGAATTAAAAAGATAAAAGAAATATTATAGGCAGTGTTGCGTTGTTTAGAAATGTCGATTTATTTTGAAAAACGCGATATCCCGAAAACACCAGAAATGGCTCTAATTAAGGCAAGTTCGTTTTTAGATGTATAGATGTATAGATGTATGACTGTCCACAACGAAAGTCAGCAACGAATATGTCTTCGATAAATAATAAAACTTTCTTTAATAAGTTACCTCTTTAAGAAGTGCTTTATTTGTGCACTCCGTTGACGGATCTCTGTGTACTTTGCATTTTTGCACGGTGAGGCCAAGTAAAAATTTGACACTTTTGGCCGTTTCTTTCACGTCCCTTAGAAATACTAATATTTTTCTACTGTGAACATAAGAACACGCCTTTTTCTATATATTGAGGCCATTTCCACTGTTTTTGTTCGCTTTTAGACTCCGTTCTTCGGTCATGAATGCACGGCAGAGCGTCCATATAAATATTGATATTTTGCGGAAACTATAAATGTTTTGCTTGTCCTATTTCTGAATAAAGTATGCACAGAAGGTAAACTACACGACAAGTAGTGTTTCATATGTTTAAGGCTGGAAACGACCATTCCGTGGTGGTCATCTATGTGACATCAGGTAGAATTTTCCAAACGGCAAAACAATTTCAGCCCACTTAAACGAAGGAATCCCTATCTGCGTTGTTATTGCACATTTGAGCACCAAATCCCACAGATCTGTTAATTTGACATTCAGAAATTGATAAAACTTCTAGTTTTCTTAAAATAGCATTTGTCACCATGGTTAACATCGGACATAAAATAATTTTTCAAATTCGGCTAAATCTGTTTATTAAAACTGTCGTGGGTAAATTACTATCCTTTCAATGAAAAAGTCGCTCAAATCGTAACCGGAGTCTAGGACATGCATTAGCATAGGAAATTGCACGAATATAATCCAACATCCATTTTCGCTAAAATTTACTGATATTTTCCTTGGTATAATTACGTAAAAACCATCTCTGCACAAGAAAAGGACATTTTATTGAAGGAAGTGGATGGGCGAAAAAATGCTGAACATTAAAGATGTCCAGAAATTCTCTGATCAGTTTCCGTTGTCAGGTTTCATGAGATATGTCACGCACTGTATGTCATGCGCCACATAAAGCTGGTTCTTAAAGAATTTGTATTGCAGTTATACGCAAAAATAAATTTTTTTAATGCTTACTGTTCTTACTGTATTTTATATGTTCAGTTATTAGAAAGAGCAGGTTTTATGTACTTCTAAAAATTGACTTTTTATCCTCAACACGAATTTTTGCGTTTCGATATTTCCGCTTTTCTTAGGGAGGTTGTTATTTCTGACCAGAAAAACAGTATTTCAGAAAATTATTTGGAGTTGTCATTTGACAGAATTCCGTTCAAGTAATGTCGGCATTCTTTGTATGCTGTAGATACTTGGGGGCGTTTACCCTTTCCATACCCGGCCCCCAAAGCATAAGGAGACTAGTGCGTCTCGTGACGCGATCCGTAAGCGCCGGTATGCCGGATCGTAACCGACAGGGCAACGAACTCGTGGCTGAATGACTAGGGTGTTGATCTTCTAACCAACAGGTCACGGGATCGAGCCTCGGGGGTTGTACACTTTGGGGTTGAGTATGGCCGACTGATAACGGCTAATAAGCATGAAATGACTATCGCAATCAGTCTTCGTATATTACTGACTGTTCCTCGAACTTCCTCGCTATCGCTCTAACGTCCTGGCATTGCGGTATCGTAACCAACCTATGCAAACCTTTCGTTCAAAGTTTCTTTAGTAACTTCTGCCGCTTCTCCACGAGTTAGGGGACGTATTCCCAGTCGCTATGTCACCATATTCGGAGCGTTCCACATTTAGAGTCCAAATCTAATAGTAGTTTCCGTGTACGTTTGCATCACTTCGTGCAACTGTATGTATGGAACATTTTTAAAGCCTTACTTACTTTTACTCTGTTCAGTTTTTATCAAGGACAGGCTTTATGTGCTTTTAAAAATTGATCTTGCCGCTTCGGCACGAACTTCCGACTTTCTTGAAAAATTGCTATTTCTGACCAACGGAACAGTGCTTCAAATGTTTCATTTGACTTTTCATGTAATCGTGTTAAGTTCATTATTAGTTTGGTGTTTTTTGGTGAATGTACGTGGACTGGCTTCCGACATATAGGAGATTTGCCATTTATTCCGGCATATTTCATGAGTCAAACTACCCACTATATATATATATATATGTGCATTACAGTACATTTTGGGGACCCTGAGGAGTCTTCGTAACGACATGAGAATTGCCTATCGTAGTCAGAGGAACGCAGACTGAACTAAGCGCGAGTGAAACGATCAGCTAATTTGCCGTCAACGTTTTTTTTCGGGCGTGTGTGCCATAAGGCTTCTCTGGTTTTGCAAATCAGCTTGGACATGCTCCGTCCTACTGGCAGGATCGTGAAAAACTAACTCCCTGTTACTTTGAGTAGTCTCCATCGCGGCCGGAAACAAAGTGCTATTCCTATTAAGTGCTGGGCTACGCGCCTTTTTGCATCATTTCACCCGTTGTTGGTGCATATATGAGACGGAGAGAATGCAGAACCATGGTTCATTGGTAGAACGCTCGGCTAGTTATCCAGCGACCACGGAATGCTAGTTCAGGAGCTTGTCCGCCCCCGGGGGTTGTGGTTTGGACAGTCGCAAGTCTTTGTTGCAGAATTCCAGTGTTAGAGTCCAGAACAGCCACATCTCCTCATTATGAAATTATTATGTCATTGTCTGTTAACAGGGGTACAGCTCGTGGGCCGTGGGCATTCCTCGTTTAAGGCTCTCTTGTGCATCAGTCCAGTCCCAGATGCCGTCTCGTGTTCTACCCCTGTCAATTATCCCTCGATCGCACCTCCGTGCTTCCCAAGGACTCGCGACCAAGCGCCCGTGACACCCGCGTCCTTCATTGAGCTGAAAGTCGACAGTCTTCCACCCAGTCCTCTCCTCCCCCCTTCCCACCAGCCGCCGGTCAATGCCTTTGCGGTCATTGAGCCGAAGAAGACCTGCCCCAAATAGTCCTCACAGCCTCCTCCTCATCCTCCCCTGCTTTCCCCTACGTCGGCAGCGATCTGCTCTGGTTAATCTCCATTTCCCCACACCTGCAGAGGAAGACAACGACGAGGTGGGGTGATGGAGATTCCAGGGAGCTTCTGTGCTGGGCTCTCTGTAACAAAGACGCTCCCCACAGCAGATGGAGCCAGAGTCGAAGGAGCGTGGACGGAGGGTGCATCTGTACCACCCCGTCCCCTCCCCCCTCCCCGGCTCTCTCACACTACCGCCACCGGTGGTCAGTGAATTGCATCATCGGTTGCAGAAGGCTTCTCACACAAAAGAACAAGAAGCCTCCTTCGGAGCGATGTGCGAGCGTGCTTGGGAAGTGTTCTTCCATTGTGCGCAACTGTTTTGTGAGTGACAGCGAAGC